GTGGATCTGTGTGATACGGGGGAGGGGTGCTCAGTGTGGATCTGTGTGATACGGGGGGAGGGGTGCTCAGTGTGGATCTGTGTGATACGGGGGGAGGGGTGCTCAGTGTGGATCTGTGTGATACGGGGGGAGGGGTGCTCAGTGTGGATCTGTGTGATACGGGGGGAGGGGTGCTCAGTGTGGATCTGTGTGATGTGGGGGGAGGGGTGCTCAGTGTGGATCTGTGTGATACGGTGGGAGGGGGATATAATCTCACTTGTTATTGAACTAGAACCTCTCTGATAGTGATAGATTTGGGTTCAGCAACCTATGGCACGTGAGGTGACTTTGTACGGCACTCGAACCTGCCAGAGACTTGCAGGAGTCCCAGTAGGACTTCAGATATCTGCTAGTGCAATCTGAGCAGTGATTGCAGGTGGTCAGGGACTATGCTCAATTTACGTATTACAGCACATCTCAGATCACTTCCTCCCAGCACTTGTGAATTGTAATCTGCACTACATCAGTAAATCAGCCCTCAGCATCTATCGCAGCTCCTGCCCTTGACCTGTACCTGGCCAACTCGGTTCCCCCGGGACGCCAGGGAAGCCACCCACACTGCTAGATATACAGACAGCTGCAGAATAAGCCTTCTACTCCTACAAATAAAACAAAGGGATCCCCTAACCTGACTCCACTGACAATCCACATACACACGCACACAGCCCCACCGACAATCCACATACACGCACACAGCCCCACAAGCAGTCTTACATGCCACAAACAGCCCTACACATTCACAAACCACCAAACACAAATGTGACACATTTTCCAAACGCGCAAACACACAACCCCACATAATCATGAACGCATACATTATATCAGCCCACATACACATAAATACAATGTTACAAAGTAACTGCACCACCCATAAATAACACAGGCAGAGTACAGCAACTTATGTAGGACTGGCGCGACAAGAGACTTAAACATCTTGTTTGGCATTGTACTACTAAAAGGTTGCCTACCCTTGATATAGACACTTTCTCATTGCTAGGTGGTCCTCTCAGAATGTCGAAGAGAAAGGTGACTTTTGAAGATGATGGTGTGGATGAGGAGTCCTCGAAGAGGCATGTGAGTAAAGCAGTATTGAAGCTTTCAGTCGATCCACATGCTCCGTAGAGAGTTAGTATTGGATATGTCAGTGGGCACGCACTGCAAACTATAACCATGGACTAAATTCCTGCTGCCTTTTACCATTTTCACTCATCTAGACATCCAGTCAGCACACATAGTTGTGGTTAAAACATGCTAAATACAAAGACCCTAGCAAGGCAAGTGTCAGGTAACAGTTTGACTAATTACTGGTGGTCTCCTGGCACCATAACCTCTGCAAAACGCTGTATTTGTTCTGGTGCCGAAAAACGTAAAGGGTTACTCTAACACATCGGAGTAACATGCCCTATTGGGCACTATGGAGACGGTGCCCCCTCTCCCTCGATTTGCAGTAAATTCTGCTAACTGTTTAAATGTAAAACAAAAAACTACCAATAGATGTCTCAAAAATGTCATACTTGACACAGTAAGCCTTAAAACATAACTTTTACTGTGTATATTAAAAGTAAAAACATATAAAAAAGCACAAAGCTAAATATTAGTCCTGTATAGCTAGTCTTGCTCGAACTGAGACTGAACCCTCGATTTGCAAATATAGCAGGGAGAATATCAATGTCAGTTCGAGCAGGACTACCTAGACAGGACTAATATTTAGCTTTGCGCTTTTTATTTACATATATATATATATATATATGTGTGTGTGTGTGTATATATATATGTGTATATATGTATATGTGTTTTTTTTACTTTTAATATAAACATTAAAAGTTATGTTTTAAGGCTTACTGTATCAATTATGACTTTATACCCATTTTTGAGACACCTATTGGTAGTTTTTTCTTTTACATTTATAACAGTTAGCAGTTTAGGGGTTATCCCCCGTTTTTTGTCTACCACTACTGTCTCACATATAGATTCAGGCCTGCAAAGCTCCAGGGGCTGTTCTTGATGGGACCATTTCGCCGACTAGGAGCACATGCATGCCTTCAGCGTCGTTAAAGGGAAGAATTTAAAACCTTTTTTTCAAAATTTCAGAAACTCTGCGATGGAAGCAGCTGGGAGGGGAGAGCTAGCTTCCACTTGCAGGTTATTACGTTTGTTGTCGGCATGCCATGCTTGCTAACACGTGTATTTTTTGCACAGAATTGACAGTGGGCAGCCTGGAGCAGAGTTCTGGACAGCCAATGCCACATGCTGGGGGGGGGGGAATAGTTCCCAGCATAACATTAACAGTCTCTTTGGATGTACAATGTTTCACTACATATATGGACTCTTACCACTTCAGATCACTAAAGTGGTTATGGTGGCAGGGGTAATCCTTTTTAAAGAGAAGTAAAATAATGACACACTATTAGGCAGACAGATGCTGTGAAATCCCAGAAGGGAAGAATGAATGCTTTCTGGCAAACTGTAAAGAAGTTTGATAGCGATTGGTATTGATGTAATCCAGGTCAGATCCCTGCACAGGGAATGAATGGTTTGGCCCACCGTTACACTGTACATACAGGTAGAGGGAATGCAGTGATATATCTGTGTTTCTGGGTTATCCCTGCACAGGGAATTAATGGTTTGGCCCACCGTTACTCTGTACATACAGGTAGAGGGAATGCAGTGATATATCTGTTTCTGTGAGATCCCTGCACAGGGAATGAATGGTTTGGCCCACCGTTACACTGTACATACAGGTAGAGGGAATGCAGTGATATATCTGTTTCTGGGTTATCCCTGCACAGGGAATGAATGGTTTGGCCCACCGTTACACTGTACTTACAGGTAGAGGGAATGCAGTGATATATCTGTGTAACTCCACCCTCAGCATAAAAGGGTTAAACCGCCGTTTAGAAGATCTTCCCCTTCCAGAGATACAGGCACAGCTACTGCAGAATACCAAACTCCCCAACTGCATACAAGGGAATGCTCCAAACTCCCCAACTGCATACAAGGGAATGCTCCAAACTCCCCAACTGCATGCAAGGGAATGCTCCAAACTCCCCAACTGCATACAAGGGAATGCTCCAAACTCCCCAACTGCATACAAGGGAATGCTCCAAACTCCCCAACTGCATACAAGGGAATGCTCCAAACGCCCCAACTGCATACAAGGGAATGCTCCAAACTCCCCAACTGCATACAAGGGAATGCTCCAAACTCCCCAACTGCATACAAGGGAATGCTCCAAACTCCCCAACTGCATACAAGGGAATGCTCCAAACTCCCCAACTGCATACAAGGGAATGCTCCAAACTCCCCAACTGCATACAAGGGAATGCTCCAAACTCCCCAACTGCATACAAGGGAATGCTCCAAACTCCCCAACTGCATACAAGGGAATGCTCCAAACTCCCCAACTGCATACAAGGGAATGCTCCAAACTCCCCAACTGCATACAAGGGAATGCTCCAAACTCCCCAACTGCATACAAGGGAATGCTCCAAACCCCCAACTGCATACAAGGGAATGCTCCCCAACTGCATACAAGGGAATGCTCCAAACTCCCCAACTGGAACCTCACGAATAGCTGCTAGCAGACGAACAGGAAAAGCACCCAAGCGGCTTACACTCCTGGCAATCACAGCATACAGTAAATCCCCCCCAAAGATGAGACAGAGCTCCGTGTTAAGGGTCACGCAGTGGTCTGGTTTAATGAGGGCTACCTGCCCAGTATTTATGCGAGTCTCCCACCTGGTGGACAATCCACCAGGGGACGAAATGGGAGACTGTGACAAAGGACAGACATGAACCAATGACAGACACACAGAGGTAAAACATCCCTACAATGCATCCTAACTTCCCTCCCTCTGTCCTGGAGATAATTGGGAAGTAATCCAATTATCTCCCAGGACAGAGGCAAAACTCCATTACCCACATGTTTACAGTAAAACATTAAAACACAATAAAATACACCATATTACCTTTAACACACAAAATACATACTTGCAACCAATCCCCAAATAGCTGGGATCTGAGCGCACAAAAGTACCGAATAGCGCTCAGATCCTATGCACACAGTCCAATCGCCGTGGAGTTAAAGTTTTCCTAAAGTCTGTTCTCCATACAAATAGACTCCATGGGATGGCTTTCTGGGGTAATGCTGTTCATACGGTTTAACTACTGAATGAACGGGCATCCGGTTAAATGACCGAATGCAGAAGCAAGAAGACTTTTAACATGGGGCCATAGTCCAAAGGCAACAGGCGAGCAACCAGGCTTCTTCAATGCAATGTGGCGAGATCGGTCTCGTCACAATCCGTTTCTGTGAGATCCCTGCACAGGGAATGAATGGTTTGGCCCACCGTTACACTGTACATACAGGTAGAGGGAATGCAGTGATATATCTGTTTCTGTTGGATCCCTGCACAGGGAATGGATGGCTTGGCCCCTGTTACACTGTACATACAGGTAGAGGGAATGCAGTGATATATCTGTTTCTGTTGGATCCCTGCACAGGGAATGAATGGTTTGGCCCCTGTTACACTGTACATACAGGTAGAGGGAATGCAGTCTTTTTTAGTAGCCGATTAGTCACAAGCTGTAACGGCACCCTCAGGCATAAAAGGGTTAAACCGCCGTTTAGTAGATCTTCCCTTCCAGAGACACAGGCACAGCTACTGCAGAACACCAATCCGCCGAACAGGAAACCATATGAATGCTGTAAACAGCCGAATAGGAAAAAACCATACGAATAGGTTTACACTCCTAGCAGTCAAACTGGAACAGCATACAATAAATCCCCCCAAGAACGAGACAAAGCTCCGTGTTGAGGGTCAAGCAGTGAACAGACAGAGCTGTGGGTTTATTGTGCTTATGTACACATTCTTACACATTAGTACCACCCACAGGGTTTTGGAACACAACCAATAAACACATACAATACACTCAGACACTCCCACACAAATTCCTCCCCTCTGCTTGTGATTCAATTACCTTACACAATGGGTAATGTAATTTAGCACAAGCAGAGAAATAAATTTTTTCCACATTATTCATAACTTGAAAAGTATGCATCACATTCACATATAACTTACATTTCCAGAATCAGCATACTCCAAATACAAACATACGTCAAAATCATACAAATTGGTCCAGTGGTTCAAAAGATAGATCGTAGTCCTTTGTGACCACAGGAAGCATGGCTTTTCTGCCCAAAACCAGTTCCACAGAGTCTTCTATCCTGGAGATAATTGGGAAGTAATCCAATTATCTCCAAAGACAGAGGCAAAACTCCATTGAACACATGGCAGCAAAAGACAATAAAACACATAAAACATATAACTGTGCAGCCATTGCACAAAACAGGTACATTCAACATATCCCCAGATAGCTCAGATCTGAGCGCACATTATTACTGAATGGCGCTCAGAGCACACACATACAGTTCAATTGCCATGGAGCCAAAGTCTTTCCCATAGTCTTTCATTATACGAATGGGCTCCATGGCATAGCTATCTGGGGTATCACCGCTAAAACAGGGCAAGCACTGAATGACCCGGCATTCTTGTCTTTGCAGGGGAAAATCAAGCCTTTTAACATGGGGCCATAATCCAAAGGCAACAGGCGAGCAACCAGGCTTCTCCAATGCAATGTGGCGAGATTGGTCTCGTCACACAAGCACTGGCCAAAGTTAGCATTTATATTTGTTTGTGTGTTAAAAATGCAAAACACAATTATGAATGCCAACTTTGGCCAGTGCTTGTGACTAAGTGGCCAGTGCTTAAGACGGAACATACCCCATTCGCAATACCTTGGGTTGTCTTCTTTTGCAAATGGTATGCCATCATGGGAGTAACTTTCATTCCTGGGCTACCGTATGGTCTCAAAGGCAACATAACCAATCTGGCGAATTTCAATGTAAACAAAAAGAAGGAAAATCAAGCCTTATATTTGACTCTGTAACTTTTCAAAACTCTATAAAACATGTACATGGGGGGTACAGGTTTTAGGGTGTCATAGAAAGTTACAGGGTGAAATACAGTGCTAGCAAATAAAATTTTCTGGACTTTCGGCCTGGGTTGTCTGGCAGTTCCCTCAAATTGCAATCCATAAAATTACTTAATTATGTAAAAATCTTACATAAATATGCACATAGAACTTGTGGCAAAACTAGCCACTTGGGCTAACTTGGACAATATGTGGTGAAAAGTTGCCTGTGTCTTTATTGTGCTATAATATGTGCCTGGCTGTAATTGACTTCCTTCCCTGTATGTTTCATTGATCTTGTCAGCTATCTTCCGAAAGCAGATAGCCTTACTGTATTTCGTTTCACGAACAGCACCATTGCGGGCTGTTCGTGAACCGAATGAGCTATCCCTTAATAGCCCACACAGAGAGGGACGTGTGGCGCTCGTTAACCGATTGCAACAATGTTGCAATCGGTAATTAGAGGCTTTCCTAGGTGGCCGTCGTTCGGCTACCGACCACGCGGCGGTTGGCCATCTTGGATCCTTTGTCTCCCCAGCGGTGTTTGGTCGTCGAGCGCATGGAACTGAAAACGGCTACTCGACGGCGCGAACACCCCTGGGCTTCCAGGCCGTTCGGGAGCTCTGGGTTGTTCGGTAGTTTGGTCCTCCTATATGAATCGGTACTTTAACCGTGTGTTACAAATAATGTGTTTTTCGTGCGGCGTTCGGTTGTTTGTTTTAGCTGGGATCTGAGCGGTATTCTCACGAACTGTGCGCTCAGACCCCAGCTATCTTCCGAATGTCTATTTGTGTAAATCCACCGAATAAATTACAAGTTATGGATTTTAAGGTGAATTGCCGGTTCTGCTGCACAGAGGGATAATCCACTTAACAGGCTATTCCAGGGGGAGTATCCCTCTCGTACAGCAGTGCCTGATGGGAGAAAAGGTCTGAATGTTAAGTCCCCTATGTAGTCCCCTACTGTATTACCCCTGCTATGTCAGTAGGGAAACCCCTTGCATGGGGACTTGCATAAATACTGGATGCTGTGAATAAAAACCTGAGTTGACTCCCAGAACTGTGTTTCGTCCGGTTACTGGGGGATTTGGGATATTGCTTTACTTTTCAGCTCTTGACTGTGGATTACCTTCTGTACCAGCGGAGATCTTGGGATTTAATATTGCCGATCCGCTACAGAACTTAAATATTTATTCATATTTATATATTTGAAGCCTACGTATATATTTTTGAAATGATGTGATTTTATATATAGACATGTATATTTTGTAAAAACTTTTGTGTGTGTGTAAATATATAATTTCTTTCTAAGTGTATTTGGGCTAACTGTATAATCAAAATACAGTGAGAATAAAATTACACATATATATTTACTTATTTTTTATATATATATATATATATATATGTGTATGTGTATGTGTGTGTGTAATGTAATTATAAGTGTAAGGGTGCTGTTAGTGTGTATGTGCTGTGTGTGTTAGGGTGATGGATGTGTGTGTGCTGTATGTTCGTGTGTAATGTGTGGGGGCCAATTAGTTAATATCCCCCTCCCTTCTTACCTTATGTAGGGAGGGGGGACCGTGCTCCTGCATTCCCTGGTGGTTTATAAAATAAAAAGATATAATAAAGCAGTCAAAGTAAAAAATTATATATATAATTATTTTTTACTTTGACTGCTTTATTATATATTTTTATTTTTTATTTTGCACATGCAGGGAGACTGCCTGTCAGTTCAGGCAGTCCCCCTGTAGGCAGATACAAGGACGCCTATTGCGGCCATGTGACCGCTCTGTTAAAGCGACTACATGGCCGCGGGGACTTAATTCCCCGAGGGAGGACTGTCTGGGCTGTCAGGCAGTCCCCCCACACCGGGAACGGCGGCGATCAGGTTAGTAAATATTTCCGTTATGACGGTTCAGGACCGTCATCAGTCTTAAAGGGGGTGTAGTTTGGTGAGATTGCAGGGTATGATCTATACACCAAATTTCACTGCTTAGTCCCCACCCCCCAACCTAATTTAGGAGGTTATAAAACTTTTGTCTCTGACGTGTTAGCCTTAGCCACACCTCCCCATTGTGACTCATGCAGCCAGCAAGAAAAAATGGTTTCATTTTCAGTCTAAAGTTAACTTGCTTTAGAATTTTTTTATCTCCTGCTCTGTAAATTGAAATTTAAAGGAATACTATAGAGTCAGGAAGACAAATGTGTATTCCCGACCCTATAGTGTTTATTACTGGATCTCCTTAAATAAGCATAAAATGACATTTTGTTCCAACACTGTGCGGGTCCGCTAGCGTATGGCTCTGCCTCTTTGGCTGAGATTATTGCAATTGAGAATCTCATCTAATCCACCCACTGCTTTTCTATGGGAAAGCATTGTGATTGGCTGACATCATCAATTCTGAGCCAAGTCGGAGGAGTGGAGCCAAACACCACACTGGCCAATCCGCATCTCCTCATTGAGATGCATTGAATCTTGCATCTCTGTTAGGAATATTCAACGCCTCCATGCATAATCTGGAGATGCTGAATGTCAGTGCTGCACAACTCAGGAAGCATCTCTAGTGGCTGTCTGAGTGACTGCCACTGGAGGTATCCCTAAGCAGCAATTAACAGAGCAATAGATAATAAATTCAAAATTAAACAGACTGTGTAAGTCACATGCAGGGAGGTGTGACCAGGACTGTATAAACAAACAGTTTTCCTGGCACTGCAGGTCCCCTCTCCCTCCCACCTCCCATCCCAGGTTGCTGATGGGGTTAAAACCTCTTCAGTGACTTAACTGTATCCGGCGCTGGGTCAGGCTCACCAGCTCTCCCTTGCCGCGCGCACACATTACACCGCCCCGTAGGAAAGCATTATTCAACGCTTTCCTATGGGGATTCCGGTGACGCTGGAGGTCCTCATGCATCGCTTAAAACACTAAAAGTGTTTTAAGAACCCAGAAGTTCATAGACAGCCAGTAGAGGAGGACTTAACCTTGTTAGGCAATTAGTGCAGTTTATGAAAAACTGCACTAATTACACTTGCAGGGTTAAGGGTAGTGGGAGTTGGCACCAAGACCACTCCAATGGGCAGGAGTGGTCTGGGTACCTGGAGTGTCCCTTTAAAAAAAAAAAAAAAAAAATATATATATAATATAATTTTTTATATATATATATATATATATATATATATATATATATATATATGCATATAGGCAAACCTAGCCACTTGGACATTATTTAAGTACTGTCGCTTTAAGGGTTGCCTGTATGTTTTTCGTGTTGTGTGTTCCAGCGTGTAATGTAATACAATTGAATAACTGTATTGCCTGCCTTGGCTATCTGCCGAAAGCAGATAGCTGATTCCCTTTCGTTTCACGAACGGCACCTTTGCGGGCTGTTCGTGAACCGAATGAACCATCATTTAATAGCCCACACACTTAGAGATGTGTGGCGCTTATTAACCGATTGCAACAATGTTGCAATCGGTAATTAGAGGCTCTCCAAGGTGGCCGTTGTTCGACTACCGACCATGCGGCGGTCGGCCATCTTGGATCCTTTGTTCCCTCAGCGGTGTTTGGTCGTAGAGCGCATGGTACTAAAAATCGGCTACTTGACGGCACGAACACCGTTGAGCTTCCAGGCCGTTCGGGAGGTCCGGGCCGTTCGGTATCCTGTTCCCTTACATGCAATTGGTCTTTTGAAGATATGTTTTAATGAATGTGTTTTTCGTGCGGCGTTTGGTTGTTTTAGCTGGGATCTGAGCGGTAATTTCACGAATGATGCGCTCAGATCCCAGCTATCTACCGAACGTCCATTCGTTTAAATAGACCGTATATTCAAAGAGTTATACATTTTAATACGAATTGTAGATTCTGCTGCACGGAGGGATAATCCACTTAACGGTACATTCCTGTGAGAGGATCCCTCTCGTGCAGCAGTGCCTGATGGGAGAAATGTCCTGTACAGTAAGTCCCCCATGTAGTCCCTTCTGGGAATGCCCCTGGGAGGTGACTCAGGAAACCCCTTGCATGGGGACTTGTATAAATTGTGGAGCTGAAATAAAAGACCTCAGTTGACTCCCAGCCTATGTGTCGTCTAGTTCTTGGGAAGGAAGGGTTACTACAGTGCTACTTGGATTACTGCATGCTGATTCCCCTGGATTATCCTTTGTTGTTCCTGTTACCCAGCGGAGATATCGTGGATTATACTGCCTCTCCGCTACATATATATTTTGTGTGTGCGCATAGTGTCCTTTTAAAGCCTTAAGGACCAAACTTCTGGAATAAAAGGGAATCATGATGTGTCACACATGTCATGTGTCCTTAAGTGGTTAAATAAAAATGCTGTGTCTTGGGTTGGAAGAGTGGATTTTTGCAATGTATCCTACTGATCACACTTTAATTTGTCTTCGTTCAGTTCCCTGACACGGTTGGAGGCCCTGGGAGTCGGTTTAAAGGAAAACATTCACTGGACAGCGATGAGGAAGATGACTATGAAAGCGGAGACTCTGCTAAATATAACATGTTGGCCCCGGAAGATGTGGAGGGTAAGTGCTCACAGTGTGGAGTCTCAGACTCTGTTAATTGACTGCCAAAAACGCTAAACACTAAAACCAGTATATCGTAACGTGTGTTTTTACAAAAAGTGCAGATTTAAATAGAAATTGACACTTTTGAAAATGAACCTTTTTACACCCCTTGCCTGTCAGTCACAGATGGCCCTGTTACTTCCTGGGTTGGTTAGCTTTAAAGTAGATAAACTCGATAGGCAGCAATTGCTCAGAGCACCTACCTTGAAAATGCTTGTCATCGAGAAGTCTGTGATTGGACAGCCACAGAAAATCTGGGTGGGGCTAGAAGGGGAGGGTTTGCAAAGACAACAGACAAGAGCTCTCTATCTATCTATCCCAGTGAAAAAGATGTATGTGACGAGACCAATCTCGCCACATTGCATTGGAGAAGCCGGGTTGCTCGCCTGTTGCCTTGGGATTATGGCCCCATGTTAAAAGGCTTGATTTTCCCCTGCAAAGACAAGAAAGCCGGTCATTTGGTACTTGCCCTGTTTGAGCAGTGATACCCCAGATAGCTATGCCATGGAGCCCATTCATATAATGAAAGACTATGGGAAAGACTTTTGCTCCACGGCAATTGAACTGTATGTGTTTGTGCTCTGAGCGCCATTCAGTAATAATGTGCGCTCAGATCTGAGCTATCTGGGCATATGTTGCATGTCTGTATTTTATGTCATAAATGTAACCTTGTGTATTTTATTGTATTTTACTGTCTTTTTGCTGCCATGTGTTCAATGGAGTTTTGCCTCTGTCTTTGGAGATAATTGGATTACTTCTAATTATCTCCAGGATAGAAGACTCTGTGGAACTGGTTTTGGGCAGAAAAGCCATGCTTCCTGTGGTCACAAAGGACTACGATCTATCTTTTGAACCACTGGACCAATTTGTATGATTTTGACGTATGTTTGTATTTGGAGTATGCTGATTCTGAAAATGTAAATATGTGAATGTGATGCATACTTTTCAAGTTATGAATAATGTGGAAAAATTGTATTTCTCTGCTTGTGCTAAATTACATTACCCATTGTGTAAGGTAATTGAATCACAAGCAGAGGGGAGGAATTTGTGTGGGAGTGTCTGAGTGTATTGTATGTGTTTATTGGTTTCCAAAACCAAAACCCTGTGGGTGGTACTAATGTGTAAGAATGTGTACATAAGCACAATAAACCCACAGCTCTGACTGTTCACTGCTTGACCCTCAACACGGAGCTTTGTCTCGTTCTTGGGGGGATTTATTGTATGCTGTTCCAGTTTGACTGCTAGGAGTGTAAACCTATTCGTATGGTTTTTCCTATTCGGCTGTTTACGGTATTCATATGGTTTCCTGTTCGGCGGATTGGTGTTCTGCAGTAGCTGTGCCTGTGTCTCTGGAAGGGGACAATCGCCTAAATGGTTTTAACCCCTTGTGTGCTGAAACAGTCCGTTACAATGTATAATTAAATGCATGAGTGTTTTCATTGGTCGTGTATCTACTAAATGTTTTGGGTGGTGTGGGTTATTTATTTTTATTTTATTTTTGCAAGTGGAGTGTCCCTTTTTAAGTGCATAGATTTCTTTTTACTTGGATAATAAAGGCTGAAGCTTGCCTTAAACTCCAGCGTTTGCCAATTTTGCCAAGTGTAGGAAAATGCATAAGACAACGTTGTCCCTACTCTGTCTTGTGTTTTTTAAAGAGAAACTGATGAGAATCAAAAATGAAGAAAAGGACAAATTCTGAAAGAGAAGAACAATGAATAGCAAAACTGCAAGTTTGGGGTGACAGCCGGCTAAGTTCCCACGAGAATAGGGCTCCCAACGCATGTATTTGTCATGGGGGGGGAGGGGCTTCCCACCCCCATCCCATGAGAATACTTCCTTCAATCTCTAACTTCCTTTATCCTCAGACAATTGAGTTATCCAAACATGATGGGAATTGTAGTGCAGCAAGGGGATTGGTCAATTTTTTATTTTTTATTTTTTTTAACAAGTTGGCAAGCTGTGGACTTTTTAATTTTTTTTATAACATGGTAAAATAATTTGGAGGGTGTGATTTGCTCTCTGTAATATACGAGTTACCTGTCAGCAGTGCGGAGAACAGATTTCCCATTTTTATTTTTAGGCCCTGTTTGATTGCACTTTATTTTTCTATTCCACTCCTTACATTGCTGTCTGTTTCTGTATAAACACTTAAGCATCTCTTCAATCACTACTACAGGGCAGGAGAGCGCCACCCTGGACTCCGAGGGCGGTGTACTAATAACACCATTTAACCTGAATGAAGAGATGGAGGAGGGGCACTTTGACTCAGAAGGCAATTACTTCTTAAAGAAGGAAGCACAGATTCGAGATCACTGGCTGGACAACATTGACTGGGTAAGGGGGCGAGAGGTTACTCCATGTTGGATTAGTCCAAAGAGATTGTTAAAACTCCCAGTGATATGAGGTGGTCATGGTGCCAGGAGTTTATAGTGTGAAACTCTGCATGTTGTTGCTGGAGTAGGGGTTACAGTGTAATTTGGGTGTCGTTAGCCGGCTCCTGGATAATGGCAATTTTAATGCACACTGTGCAATTTATTAGCTAAGAATAGTCCGCTGAGGCTCTCTGCCAGTATATGGTGAGTGGGTTCTGCAGAAGCCAGTAGCTGTGTCATCATTGCAAAGAGGAGTGTCTGAGCCCAGCTGGGACACCGATAAGACGGGGAAAACATTGCTAAGTAGTTTGCCCCATTATTGGGAACTGGGCCAGGGTGCTTCTTCCATTTATCACCACCCTCAGCAATCTCTATCTTAACAGGTCCGCATCAAGGAGGTTGCAACCCCTCAGTTGGAAGAGTCTAACAATGATCCTGATCCTGATTCCGATGAGGGTCGTGCCCCTTTAGGAATGAGAGTACTTCTAGAAGGGATCTTAGAATTGCTGCTACCTGGAGAAACTGTGGCAAAAGGCATCCAACGGCTTGGCGGAACAGGGGTTAGAAAGAGACTAGGAGTTCAGAGAGAGAGGGCTCTGCAGGGCCGAGCAGGCAGTAGAAGAAAGAAATCTACAATCAAAGAAGACTTGACTGCATCAGAGAAAGAAGAGCAATTAAAGATGGATCAAGGACAGAGTGGGGTAGAGAGACTGGAAGATCAGGAAGAAGCAGAGAAAGTGCAAACAGAAGGACTGCGACAAGAGGATGTCGGATGTGCAGAGCCAGTCTCAGATCTCCACGAAGGACCAGTCACTGGACTAGAGGCCTCTGAAAGCAAATCCCGGCACCTAGAACACCTTATATCTTTAGCGGATCAGATGGTGGCACTGGGTGTTTACGAAGTGTATCAGGACACGTATGAAAAACTGGCATACAGATTGCGAGCCCTTGAGCCTCCCCGTGTGGTTGATATGTTTGCAGACGAAATTGAGGAGGAAAAGCTGGAAACAAAAGGAGGTAAGGACCTGTCATGGTAAACTAAAATACTGTCTTCATCTCTAACATGAAGCTAAACATTCCTCTTCTCACCATGCCTGCCCCCTCCTCTCCCCATCACCAGCCTCTATCAGCCAGTTAATGTCTTCTGTCTACTTGGTCCATTCTTTCCTTGTAGTTCGACCAGCAGTTGAAGTTCTGTGGGAATATAAATGGGAAAATAAAGAAGAAGCCAAGCTATATGGACCTTTCACCAGCTCCCAGATGCAGGTACTCACTTGCCAACCTGATACAATGTGCATCTCTGCTCCCCTTTGTGGGGGGGGGAGCACCAGACAAGCAGCGGGTGGCCTTTGGGGGGGGGCGGCACCGGACAAGCAGCGGATGGCCTGGGGGGAGCACCAGACAAGCAGCTGGTGGCCTTTGGGGGTGGAGCGGCACCAGACAAGCAGCGGTGGCCTTTGGGGGCACGGCACCAGACAAGCAGTGGGTGGCCTTGGGGGAGGGAGGGCACTAGACAAGCAGTGGGTAGCCTTGGGGGGGGGGCACTAGACAAGCAGTGGGTAGCCTTGGGGAGGGGGCACTAGACAAGCAGTGGGTAGCCTTGGGGGGGGGGGCACCAGACAAGCAGTGGGTGGCCTTGGGGGAGGCACCAGGGGCAGTGGGTGGCCTTGGGAGGGGCACCAGACTAGCAGTGGGTGGCCTTGGGGCCACACGCTGCTTGTTTGCTCCCCAACGCCCACATAGCTTGATTGCATTCTTTTTTCAAGAACTGTCTCTCTGATGCATGTGTAACCATGTTGTTGTTTTAGGACTGGGTGGATCAAGGCTACTTTGTTGATGGTGTGTACTGCCGGCGTGTGAACAGCTCAGGCAGTCAGTTCTACAATTCGAAGAGGATAGACTTTGATCTTTATGTGTGAAGTTTTCCTGCGTTTTTACAGATCTTCCTAAGCCTTACAAAAGACTTTACCATCTGTTACACATGCTCCTCCCACAGAATGCCACTTATATCGCCTCTGTATATTCTCTAAGGCACACAATGTGTCCAGTACTCAGGAGTACCATTACGTGGTGTCTCCTTTACTTTGTAAGAATTTAGTGGCAGTTTTAATAAAATACTTTATTTCTTTTCTGAGTCTCTAAAATCTTACTTTAACGCTATCCAGCAGCACCACATAACCGTGTCATCTACCCACTGTGTAACCCGCTACTTTCTTATATTGTCCACCTCCTCCGTGTAACACTCTGCTTTTTTTTATATTGTCCACTTCTACCACGTAACCCTCTCTTTACTTATATTGTCTACCTCTACTTTCTTATATTGCCCACCTCCGTCTTGTAACACTTTCTTATATTGACCACTTCTACCACATAACCCTCTACTTTCTTATTTTTTGTTTTTGACTTTTATCCCTTTGATATGTGTAGATGTATAGGTGCATTGCAGACAGGTCACATTGCGTCCAATATGTGTTACAATATAAGGGTGAGTGTTAGGTTTAACATAAGTATAGCAACGTTCAAACAATGGTTTCAAAGATGATGCATTACAGAAAGTATAGAACAGGCATAGGCAACTTTCGGCACTCCAGCTGTTTTGGACTACACCTCCCATGATGCTTTGCCAGCATTACGGGTGTAAAAGCATTATGGGGGATGTGGTCCATAACATCTGGAGTGCCGTAGGTTGCCTATCCCTGGTATAGAACATCTATTCATGCAAAAACCTCGGTGTGTACTTAGTGTGTTGTGTTGGAGAAAACATGTAGGTCACCCATGGTGTTACTCATATTGGTTTAGCCAGGCAATTGGGCGTGCTTCAGTCCCCAATCGCATAGGCGACCAGGTCATGAAGTTGCAGTAATGGATTGTAGGTAATTGTGAGCCATCCCTAGTGTGACGAGACCAATCTCGCCACATTGCATTGGAGGAGCCTGGTTGCCCGCCTGCTGCCTTTGGATTATGGACCGGCAGTTAAACGGTTAATTTTACGGTGCAGAAAGATTTATTCCTTCCTTTCTGCACAGCCGTTCGGTAGATTCTATCTACCGAACAAACAGACTTCTATCAGCCTCCCCAGAGCCGTGGGAAGTCGGCCGGTGCCGTTAATTGGCCACCCAGAAGCTGGCGTGTGCCCTCCATTTACCTCCCTGAAACCGCGGCTTAACGAGCGTGTGCCGGCAATTGACCACCCAGTAGCTGCGGTTAACTGCAGCTTAATTGACTGTTACTGGGTGGTCGCGGTTACACCTAGCCACCACACGATGGCGATGTTCTGGAGCTCCCCGGGCAGCCAGCGCTTTTCTGCCCGGCTTTCCTACGCCAAATCTGGACACTGCGTCAGCTAAGCACCGCTGAGCCTCCAGCCCCTGGTTCTGATTCGTACCAATTTAACGAATGTATGTAGATTCGGTATTTTGTGTTGGGGGAATGTTTTAACCCAGATAGCTATGCCATGGAGCCTATTCGTGTAATTAAAGACTTTGGCTCCATGGCAATTAAACTGTATTCGTGTGGTCTGAGTGCCATTCACCTAATAATGTGCACTCAGACCTGAGCTATCTGGGGATATGTAATAAATGTTACTTTATGTATTTTAAAGTATAATACTGGTTTTGTGTCCCCACGTGTGTAATGGAGTTTTTGCCTTTGTTTTGGGAGATAATTGAATTACTTCTCAATTATCTCCCAGGGCAGAGGGGAGGAAGCCAGGATGCATTGTGGGAATATACTATTTGTCTACTTGTCTGTCCCTTGTCACATTCTCCCATTTGGTCCCCTAGGGGAGTGTCCACCAGGTGGGAGACCTGCATAAATACTGGGCAGGTAGCCCCCATTAAACAGACCCTGGCCCTTTAAATGCTCTGGGTAAAGATCTGTACTTTTGTTATGGCACTTCGGATGCAGTCAAAGTGGTCGCCATTCGACAAACAAACACGTGGTGGCGGCGGCCATTTTAATTTAGATCAAAATGGGACTTCCAGCTAACTCCCGAACGGCTGAACGTATTCGAAGGACATTTGGATATGTTGTTCCCATAGTTATGCTGTTTCTAAAAATTTAAGTTTTATGCAAATATGATGTGTAATTTTAAAGTTATAAATTTGTGTAAAGGGTATGGGTTTTTTTTTTGTTTGTTTTTTTTTTAGCTAATTGAGTTAGTACAGCCATTGAGCTCAATTGTCTCCCAAGCAGAGGGGAGGAATTTGCTGTAATGAATGGGAGTGTTTAACTGTGTGTCTGTATATGATTGGTTGTTACATTTGTGTTTTCAGTACCCAACAAAGTCCACGTGGGTGGTAACCTTGGAGGGAAATGTGTATAAAAGAAGCAATAAAGCCTCAGTGCATTCTTTTCCTGCTTGACCCTCAACACGCAGTCTTGTCTTGTGATTGGAGGGGCACTGCTAGAATCACACTGGGGATTGCTATACTTTGTATACTCCCTTGTCTCTAATCACTTAGCTCTTTTCTAAGAGCTGTTCCTGATACGCGAGACTCCAGTTAAGCTACGGCGGTTGTGGAGTCTGCGGTGGTTTTGGTGTCCGGTGCGGTGCTTGTGGTCCTTGGCGCAAGCTAGGAAGCGTCCATCAACGGAAGGTACTCTGTCGGAGTACAGGTGATCCGTTACAGTTATTTATTAGAGATATGTAGGCTTTGGCCAGGGAGCTCCTTGTATGCCATGGGCAATGTTGCGTTATGAGATATTGGGAACAGGTGTTATCAAGCAGAACCTATGGGCAAATTTCTTCAAAAGGTGTAATAGTGGGCTTATAGTAGGGTGTTGTTTAGGGCAGAAGTGGGAGGCCAGTGGCAAATTTATCCATTCCTCTTCCATAGTTCTCCAGTGTTTACAGCTGTCTTTTCAGCACCATTCCAGTATTCTGGTGAACTGTGTGAATATGTAGTATTGAAAAGGGTCACACATGCCCAGCCCTCCCATGGTCTTGGGCCTTATGAAGATGCTAAATGAGGGTCTGGTCTTTTACCGAACCAGATAAAATCTGTGAATATCTAAATTAGGGGATAATGTCTATGGGTAATGTTTGGTATAGGTAGAGCAGACTGGAAGTGCACTCATTTTGAGAATATTTACTCTGCCAATCCAGAACATCTACGAGAAGTGGTGAGAAATATAGATGATATTTCCTGCAAATTTGAACTCTTAAATATTTAATGTGGTGCTGAGCTATTTTGAAAGGGGACAACGTTCTGATCTTGGTAAGCAATTGATCGGTGACTGCTATTGGGAGGATTTCACTGTTATCGTAATTCACCTTCAAGTTTGAAATTTTCAAGTAGGTGGACAGCTCAGACATGAGGTGAGGCCTGCCGGATCAGTGATGGTGAATAAGCATATGCTGAAATCTTGTATTGGATCCGTGGACCATGTATGCCACATGTATTCATGTTAGTCCGCACAGCATTGAGGAAGGGCTCCATGGCAAGTATAAAAAGGGCGAGAGGGGCCAGCCCTGCCTCGTGCCATTAAGAAAAGGTAGGGGATCACCTGCACTTGTGCCTGTGGTTAAGAACAAGGGGTCTTAACCGATGCCAGGCACCTTTTGTGGCGAAACCGACCTCGCCACTGGGCATTGGAGAAGACTGATTGCCAGCCTCCTGCCATGTGACCATGGCCCCTGGGAGACTTTGCCCTGTGTAAGCATTATTTGGACTTATTGGATTTTAAAACACTGTTTCTGCCCCTTTGAATACATGAGAAGGTGTGCCCGTCCCCCGTTTCCAGGGTCACTAACAGATCAGTTAGAACTTGTTGCTAAACTTTAACCCCGTTTGGCTGTGTTTGTGGGGTTCTGTTCAGTATGATAGGAATTATGTATTTTTATGTGTTTTTACTGTTGTGAATAGAGCCATTTTCTGTATGCTGGAGACAATTGGCTTACCACACCCAAGCCATGCTTGCAGTTGGTCAAAATGGGATTTCCAACTATCTTTTGAACCAATGGACCAATCTGTATGATTTTGACATATGTTTGTATTTGGAGTATGCTGATTCTGAAGATGTAAGTCACATTATGTGAATCTGATGTATACTTTTAAAGTTATGAATATTGTGTATTTTCCTGTCTGTGATAACTACGTCAGCCCATTGTGCTCAGTAATTATAGCACAAACAGAGGAGAGGATTTTGTGTTTCATTGCTGTAGCGGATCGGCAATATTAAATACCACGATCTCCGCTGGTACAGAGGGTAATCCGCAGTCAAGCGCTGAAAAATAAGGCAATGTCCCAAATCACCCAGTAACCGGATGAAACACAGTTCTGGGAGTCAACTGAGGTTTTTATTCACAGCATCCAGTATTTATGCAAGTCCCCGTGCAAGGGGTTTCCATACTGACATAGCAGGGGTAATACAGTAGGGGACTACATGGGGGACTTAACATTCAGACCTTTTGTCCCATCAGGCACTGCTGCACGAGAGGGATACTCCCACTGGGATGTACCGTTAAGTGTATTATCTCTCCTTGCAGCAGAACCAGCAATTCACATTAAAATCTATAACTTTCACGATACTTGGTAGATTTAAACGAATGGACGTTAGGTAGATAGTTGGGGTATGAGTGCACAGTTTGTGAGAATACCGCTCAGATCCCAGCTAAAACAACCGAACGCTGCACGAAATACACTTTGCCATAGAGTTTGACCCAAAGTACCGAACACCGATGGGGAACCCTTATGGCGAAAAGACCGGAGCTCCCGACCGGCCTGGAAGCCCAGCGGTGTTCGTGCCGTTGAGTAGCCGTTTTCAGTACCACGCGCTCAGCGACCAAACACCGCTGGGGAGACAAAGGATCCAAGATGGCCGATCGCCGCGTGGTCGGTAGCCGAACGACGGCCACCTAGGAAAGCCTCTAATTACCAATTGCAACATTGTTGCAATCGGTTAACAAGCGCCACACGTCCCTCTCTGTGTGGGCTATTAAGGGATAGCTCATTCGGTTCACGAACAGCCCGCAATGGTGCTGTTCGTGAAACGAAACACATGAGTGTATTCGTCAGCTAGCACACGAATTCAATAGGACATACAATAATATACAGGGTACAGCCAGGGAATATAAGGAATCACAATAAAAATACAGGCAACCTTTTTAAACATATAGTCCAGGTTATTAAAAGTGGCTAGGTTTGCCACAATTGCTAGGAGTGTCTGAGTGTATTGTACGTATTGATTGGTTGTTCTGCAAAACCCTGTGGGCGGTACTATGTTTGTAAAATGGGCATAAAAGCAGTGTGTTTGATTAAAAGCTTCCGTTCTACTTCACCCTCGATTTGGAGTGCCGTCTCTTATTGGGGGAATCTGCTACAATGGATTGCTATGGTCTGCATATTCCCTTCCCTTGCTATAATCACTACTAAGTTCTTTTAAGAGCTTGTTCCTGTTTTGCTCGCTGAAGGAGGTTACGGTGGCTGCTGGAGTGCTGGAAACCCTCAGGAAGCACTAGGAGCATCCTTCAACGGAGGTACCAGGTGATCCGTTATACCTCATCTACCCCCCCCCCCCAGACTGGCGGAGGTCATCCTGGCCTGCTCCCAGACAGTGAGTACTCACCTACAAACCGCCTCAGGATGCATATCACACAAGGCCTGACCAAGATGGCAGACGGCACAGCTACCCACACACAGCGGCAGACTCCAAGCAACTGGGCAGCAGCCTTCCAGGCACAATTTGAAGCAGTATGCAGGCAAATTTGGGATCGCCTGGAGAATAGGCACCAACCCCCAACACAATCTCAAGCCAGCTTTATGACCAGCGAACCCCTGGCAAGACAGCCAGCCAGAGCTCGTTACCCTGAACGGCGCAAGACCCCAACCGGGCAAAGCAATAGGCGAAACTACGAACCATAATGCTGACAGCCCACATGGGGCAAGAGCCACACGGGGTTCGACCACCACCCACGCATGCGGAAGAGAGTAAGGCACATGTGGAAGCAAGGGAGTGCAGCTCTACGCAGCCCCACACCGGGGGAGGACATAGCCCCAAGACAGCGGCGAGTCCATGACACAGTGGTACCGGCTCATAGAAGGTCTCAGGGCAGGGAGGGCACCTCACCTGGAATGCATTTTGAAGCTGAAGTGAAAGTACGGGGTCCCAAAATACAGCTGGGGTGGCTCATCGCCGTACATTCCGAGCCTGTAACCACGGCCTCCAGACGGGGCATCGGCTGAACTGGGACAGGTATGGACTGACTTGCTGCACTGCCCACAACTCCACATAAAGAGAACTCTCTACAAAAAAAAAAAAAAAAATGCTAAACATCCCTCATAACCCAGCATATATAGACAGATCTTCTTTTATGCTCCCAGAAAGTCACGCCGGCATGCTGACTCCCATGTTGCACAAATTGTGACTCTATATGTGCCCTCACTTTTCTTTATTTTTTACATTGACTCTAATGATGATGATGTCGCTAGGAGTCCTGTATTAACATGTGTTGTGCAGATTTAATTCAGGGAAGTGATGTCTTGGGGGTTGGATGTATTGACCTTTCCGTTCACTGCTCAGCAAGCATTCATTCTAACAAAACAAATGTTTGTTATGCTTTACTCTCTAGTTGTTTGCTGATAGTCTTCACCAATAACTCTATCGATGCTATGGCGGGAACTCTTAGCTATGTTTCTTAGGAGAGTGGCCTGAGGGGTTCTTCTCCAGTTAGCATGTTTAATACACTCATACTTCTCACTAAGTTGACCTTACTGCACAACATACCTATAACCGGCAAAAGGAGGGCTTGCTGCCCCTCTAAGGGTAGTTCACCCACCTACAGAAATTTAATATGTATCTAAGACGTGAATTGTCTACCTAACCCTGACATCACTGACCCTAGCAAGCGCTATTCCCTCTATGCATAGCAAGTTAGAAGACCTGAGATGCGCAGTGTTTACCCTCCGACAATATACTGATAGAATTAGGGATAACCACACACGAGAAGGATTTGGGAATTGTTATAGACAACAAATTAGGCAGCAATATGCAATGCCAATCTGCAGTGTCTAAGGCCAGTAAGATTTTGTCTTGTATAAATAGGGGCATAAATTCTCGAGATGAAAATATAATTTTGCCTCTTTATAAATCGCTGGTAAGACCACACCTTGAATATGCTGTGCAATTTTGGGCACCTGTTCTAAAGAAGGATATCATGGCACTAGAAAAAGTGCAGAGACGAGCTACAAAATTGATCAAAGGAATGGAGCATTTTAGTTATGAAGAAAGGTTAAAAAAATGTAATCTGTTTAGTTTGGAAAAACGGCGCCTGAGAGGGGATATGATAACTTTATACAAATATATTCGGGGCCAGTACAAACCTTTATCTGGAAATCTATTCATAAACTGGGCTATACATAGGACACGAGGTCACACATTTTAGGCTGGAAGAAAGGAGATTTCACCTAAGGCAAAGAAAAGGTTTTTTTACAGTAAGAACAATAAGGATGTGGAATTCTCTGCCTGAAGAGGTGGTTTTGTCAGAGTCCATACAGATGTTTAAACTGCAATTGGATAAATACTTACAAAAACATAACATACAGGGATATAATTTCTAATTAGCTGCTTGATCCAAGGAGACATCTGACTGCTATTTTGGGGTCAAGAAGGAATTTTTTTCTAGTTTGTGTCAAAATTGGAAGCGCTTCAGACCAGGTTTTTTGCCTTCTTTTGGATCAACAGTAACAACATTTGTGAGGAAGGCTGAACTTGATGGACGCAAGTCTCTTTTCAGCTATGTAACAATGTAACTATGTAAGAATGCTCACATCAATCTTATTTGTTAATTGCTTTATTTTAAATTGTGCATGACCAATCTACTACCCCATTGGTTTGGGTACCTCGAGCCAGTTTGTATCCATCTTTTGAACTGCAAAAATACAAAAATTAAATAAAAATAAAAAAAGTAGGGACCAGTCGACCCTGTCAAAGCCTTTTCAGCATCTTTACTGATCAGCAGGGTTGGAATTTTATAAGTTATTGCTTTGTGTATAATATTAATTATTTTAATAGTGTTGTCTTTGGCTTCTATGTTAGGGGTAAAACCTGCTTGATCAGGGTAGACTAGTCCCGGTAGTAACGGTTTGACCAGCATATGGGAAAATATTTTAAAGTTATTTATGAGGGAGATCGGTCTGTAATTACCGCATTTGGTGTGGTCTTTGTCAGGTTTTGGAATGTGGGTGATTGTGGCCTCCAGAGCCAGGGGGCTAAAGACAGAACCCGATGATAAGGAGTTAAAGGCCTGTCGCATGTGTGTTCCCAGTTGAGGGGAGAAGATTTTGTAGTATTTGTTAGAGCATCTGTCTGGGCCGGGGCTTTTCCTCATTAGGAGCGGCCTTAATTGATGCAGTCAATTCCTGGTTCGAGAAAGGGCTATCTCAGGGGTTAGTCTGCTTGTTATGTTTCCATGTATGTACTGTTGGCTGTCAGTGGCTGGTGTTTCAGGAGATGGTCATCTATATAGCGTGGCGTAGTATTGGTGAAAGATTTTAGCAACATCAGCTGTTGGTTATTTTAGGTATCCATCTTTGCAATCCGGTATCAGCACTCTCAGATTTTAAAAGTACAAAATGTATTCGTATAAGGTTGAAAAACAATCGCTATGGGGAGAGGGAGGGGGGGTGTAGAAAACACTAAAAAAAGAGGGAGGGGAGAGAGGAGCATTAAGCGGGGGACCACTACACGAGAAGGGAGGTTTTTCCTATTAGATTAAATTCATTAAAAAGTCTAATTTTAATAAAATTTTAGGAAAACAAGTTTTAAAAAATCATTTGGGAGGGAAAAGTCATTTTTGGCCAAGAGCATCCTGAATTTTTGGTTTCGGCCCATAATTTTAAGGGGTTAAAGACAGGAGGCGAATATTTGCTTTAAAGGGACACTATAGTCACCTGAACAGCTTCAGCTTAATGAGGTGGTTCAGGTGAGAACTATAGCTCCCTGCAGCCTTTCTCGTGTAAACACTGTATATACAGTGTTTACATTGAAAGCTAGGAACACCTCCGGTTGCAGTCACTCAGAGTGAACCAGAGGGACTTCTGAGTTGATGGAGGCATAATATGCCTCCATCCACTCAGATCTGCTGTCAGCAGAGCACAGGGCAGCACTGTGCACAGCATCCTGTGATTCAGTATCTCCTCCCTCTGCATGCAGACACTGAACTTTCCTCATAGAGATTCATTGATTCAATTCATCTCTATGAAGAGATGCTGATTGGCCAGGGCTGTGTTTGAATCATGCTGGCTCTGCCCCGATCTGCCTCTTTGTCAGTCTCAGCCAATCCTATGGGGAAGCATTGTGATTGGATCAGACCACCACTTCTAATGATGTCAGCAGACTGCTTGTTTTTCTGAGTCTAACAGCATGCAGAGTTACAGCTTCAGGCTTGAATACAGTAAGATTTAGCTATATTTATGGAGGCATGAGGGGCCCAGGGGGGCTAGATGGTGGTGTTAACACTATAGGGTCAGGAATACATGTAGTTGCACTGGTGACTATAGTGTCCCTTTAACGTCTTTACTGAAACCTCCATCAGCAAAGAAATATTTAACAGAACTTTTGCAAACAACCAATCAGAACAAAATAACAGCAGTATAAAATCCCTCAGTCAGATCCTCCCACTTCCTCTTTCTTTGAGGCCGAGCAGGAGAGCATAAAAAACCAACGAATACACCTTGTATCAGGCACATCTAGAGAAGAAACTGGCAGAACCAGAGAGAACCCAGATTACACTGCAAGGAACACAAACATTGTGAAAGTAAACTGCCAGGGCAGAATGCCATACCATATACATCATCACTTCAACGGCACAGTACATGCACACGGACAATCACCAACGTATAATAGAAACATATTCATTAAACAAACAGGAGACCATACATTACAAAAAACATAACATTAACATAGAGAAAAAAACTATTCCAAGGAGGGAAATCTCAATGAGGGAAATATTCGCCTCCTGTCTTTAATAAAATTTAGATTATTCCCTCACCGAGGCTAGAATAATCCCTAAATTTATGACAAGACAGGAGGCTTCATATTTTGCATAACTTTCTTTACGTTATGCCTCCAGCAGCACAAGTCAATCAATAAACTTTAAACCAATCAGTAACCGGCATTGTTAAGACACCTCCAGTGTCTTTAGGCAAAACCGCCCTTTAGTAGACCTTCCCCGTCTGCAATAATAGTAACTCCGTTCGCCTAACCTGTAGTACACGAACCAAATGCAGGGGAAGCGGCAATCTCCCGACCGGGATCCGTGAACGGCTCCAAACTCCTGAACGACAATACACGAACTGCTGCTAGCCGCCGAACAACAATATCCACCAAGCGGCTTTCGTTTCCATCCAGCAGTCTCAAAACGTGAAGAAGAAATCCCCCCAATAACGAGACAGAAGCTCCGCATTGAGGGTCAAACAGGATCTGGCTTTACTGTGGGCTACCTGCCCGTATTTATGCAGGTTTCCCACTTGGTGGACACTCCCCTAGGGGACCAAATGGGAAACTTAAATGACAGACAGATATGGGGACATTCCAGACACACAGTCACAGATTTTACCCACAGTGCATTATGATTCCCTCCCCTCTGCCCTGGAGATAATTACCAAGTAACTCAATTATCTCCAGGAAAAAGCCAGTCGCCATTTTAAATATAAAATCATAAAAGACATAAAAATGCATAACTTTCAAATAACCAAACATTTCTCATTCGTATCACATATCCCCAGATAGCCTGGATCTGATTGCATATTATTAGCGAATAGCGCTCAGATCCCACACACATAGTTCAATCGCCATGGAGTCAAAGTTCTTACAGTCTTTCGGTATACGAATGACTCCATGGGAAGGCTATCTGGGTTAAGTCTTTTCGTATGCTCCAAACTCCCGAACGGCCGGTATTCGTATGCTTTCGTGGAGGCAGCCAGGCGTTCCGTTGTTTCAGCGGTGTTCGGCAGAAAAAGTGTCCGTTTTTAGTTCCATAGAAATAGAGCCAAACACCGCTGGGCTTTCGCGTGGTTTAAAATGGCCGCTGCCTCGTGGTCGACATACGAACGACGACCACCCTGAATTCGTTTAATTGAGAAGTGTCTGCGGTTAACCACAACGTTCTAATTGGGATCAATAGGTTAACCAGCAGCACACTTCTCTCCTGGGTGGCCGTCCGTTCGGCAGGTTTGTTCGGGAAAAAGAGTCATTCGAATGGCTGGGCTATAGAAAACAGCCATTCATATGAACAGGATACAAACAGACGAATACACCTAAAATAAGCAGACCTGACAGACACATGACTTCCTCTTTCTTTGCTGCTCCAGCCAAGGCACAGGTCAGAGTATTTGCTTCAAACTGCCTTTTTAATGATCTGGCATTTGTTATTTTATTCCTTGATTGATATTCACCCCTGTTCCCCCTCTCCCTACTTTACCCACTTTGTACCTGTAATACTACTGTCAAATGTTTTACTGGTATGTTTTACTGTAATTTGTTTTGCTGGTGTGTCTACTGACTTTGCTTTCACTACCTGTCACTAACCTCGCGCAGATCGCGTCGTTTTATCGCGATCGCGCTTTATTCTTCTGTCTATTTCTGGGATTGCAGGCAAGGGTACTGGGGGTGGGGGGAGCGAGGGGAGGCTTTGCCATACCGGCAGGCCGCGACCGTGGGACGCACAGCTCATTTGCGCACGGACGTCAGCCATCTTGAATCTCGCGGTACCGTGAGATTCACGTCGGCCATTTTTGTTTTTGACAGTTTGTGATTCTCACGAACTGGCATAGTTCTCACTGCAATGTTTATATGTACCTACTGTTCCTACATGATTTGTGCAAGCTATTCTTTACATAAAAAGGGCCTATTGATTTCCTGAGGTGCACATAGGATTAAAGTTGCATACTAAAATAAATCTGCATGATTGTGGCTCAGAAACTGATAACTAGTGTCCAGCCCTTTCCTACTCCCTCTGGAATTATCCAACTACTACATAGGGACACATTATTCATGATCCAAGGGTGGATGCATATTGTTCATTATATAACAGGGGTGACCCCAAGCGAGTCTGGCACCAGCCCTAAGGAACGTACACATACGCTGGGTGACCCCCAAGCGAGTCTTACTCCGGTGCTAGTAGCATACATACATTGGGTGGACCCCCCTTTCCGACAGGGTCACTCCCCGCGCCCTTTTAAGGGCTTCTACCCACAGACTACGCTCTGTCACTGTATGCACAGACCAAGGCGCACTAGATGCATGTATTTTGGCACCGCCACGCTACAACTCGGGTGATCCGTACACCCCTCCCTGAGCCGGGAAGAAGAGCTCACAGTGCTGCCAAAACTCCACAGTACTATACTATATAAGGGTGACCCCCTTGGATTATACATATTGAGGATACCACGCCTCCCATACATGGGCTACGTCCCGGCATTGCCGACCGCTCATCCGGTCTTATCGAGGGTGACCCCTTCCTCAGACCACTCCTCGGATTTTTTACGAAGTGGTACTGATTGACTGAAATTCTGGGTGACCCCCAGTTGTACGTGGAGGCCACTGAGTGGTAATAAGTGTACTACTGTACCAGAGACCTGTTCTGTCTCCCACAGACCGGAAGAGTGCGACCCAACATGTTGGACTCCCCTCAATCTCCCCCGACCGATTTCAGTCGAGGATTAATGCTGCTGTGGCAGCTTCGGTGGAAAAAGCCCTCGCCAAAATGCTGGCAAACAACCCATCTGACATGGCAGATGCGATGGCCCCACCACCAATGGAAGCTAGAGATACCGACAACGATAGGTCGGACACCTTATCATCTAAACGTCATAGGAAGAGCTCCACCGCGGCTTCCCCGAAGGGGAAAGGTAAGGCCCCGCTTAGGAGAAGCTGTCACTCAGAACGTCCTAACCATTTACCTCTCAGGCTCCAGCATCAGGGGATGAGGACTCTGTGACGAAGTGCCCTTGCCACTTGTGCCTGGAGGGGAGGACTACTGGCTAGCCTCCTGCCTTCCGACTATGGCCTGGCCCCTCTGCTGATAGCTGTATTTTACCCTGCAGAAAGGTTCATTTGTGTATTTCTGTCAGGGCATTCAAGACTTTCAGTATTTGAGTAGTGCTACCCCAGATAGCTATGCCATGGGGCCTATTCGTGTACCGAAAGACTATGGAAAAGACTTTGGCTCCATGCCGATTGAACTGTATGTATGTGATCTGAGCGCCATTCAGTAATAATGTGCGCTCAGATCTAAGCTGTCTGGGGATATGTTGCATGTATATGTTTTATGTAGTAATTGTAACATTGTGTAATTTTATGTCTCTTATATAACCATGTGGTTAATGGAGTTTTGCCTCTGTCCTATGAGATAATTTGATTACTTCCCAATTATCTCCAGGATAGAGAGGAGGGATTGTGATGTCACTGTGGGAGTGTTTTGTTTGTATTGTCTGTGATTTGCTAATATCCAATATGTGTCCCATAGTTCCATCAGGTCCCCTAGGGGAGTGTCCACCTGGTGGACACTTGCATAAATACCGGGCAGGTAGCCATCAATAAACCAGACCTACTTGCACCTTTCTTGAAGCCTTGGCTCATGCTAGGGGGAAGGGATACCTACACTCTGGGGATTGCTATAATCACTTACTCCCCAGAGTAAGCTCTTGTAAGAGCTTGATTTGTTCCTGCTACGCTCATTGGATGTACGAGAGGTTCACCCACTGGGAGCTGGATCCTGGTCGTGGATCCAGGGTGGGTGAGAGATGGCAAGAGATTCCAGCTGCATCGCTGGAAGTGGGGTCCGCAGTGCTGATGGTGTCGGTTGGAGTGCTCTGAGTCCTCGGCAAGCGCTAGGAGCATCGATTGGCGGAGGCACTCAGTCGGAGTGCCAGCGGTCCGTCACAGACTCCATCCCTCCCCCTTTTCTGGAGATCATGGAAAAATGGATAGCAGACGAGTTCATGGGAGGTCAGTGTCTTCTTTGACACACTGGGCACCCTCATGTTCGACCCATGCACAATCCGACATCCAAGGTCATCAGAAGGGGGTTTACCAGATCACCTGGCACACTTTGTCCACTTCTAGCTCAGGAGGCCTATGTAAAAGGAAGTTCGAGTCAAGCACAGGGTGGAATGCCCACGCCCTCTATTGACAAACAAGATAACCTCACCCTGGAGTTCGATACCACGGTGGTGGTATTTATGTCCCGTTCAGACCGGGATCCCTGAAAGGTTCAGAATAAAATGCTGGACATGATCGGTCCCCTGGCAAAAATGTTTTATATTGTACGGACCTGGCCTTCACCCAAGATTCTCCTCTAGAAACACATGATGTGAGCGAATGGGTGCAAAGAGCAATATACATGCTGGGGAACGCAAATGCAGCCATGTGCACGGAACGACGCAAAGCAGCCTTATTAAGGATGGATTCCAGACTATTGGAGTTAGGGAAGAAAGAGCTAGGCCCTCAGTCGAACAGATTATTGTTTGGAGAGCCATTTATTGCAGAACTCAAGAAACACGTGGGACTGTATACCACCCTGAACAAGGCACAGATTTCCATCAGACAGGTCTTCCGCAACCCTACACCAAGCCGGGGGGGTTTTCGGCAGGGCTGGTCGGCAGAGTTGTCGGGCCATCAGCCGTTTCTGGGGACATCAACCCACACCTCAACCCTTCTGCCCATTGGCAAGAGCCACCTTTGCAAGGTTGGATTTGAAGGGCACATAAGTCGCTCCTTCCTTCGCTTCACATGGTAGGATCGACCTTGCCAGTTCATGTGTCTAACGTTCAGCCTCAGCTCGACCCCATGGTGTCTCACGAAGCTTCTGAAGCTGGTCACAACACATTTGAAAGTCGTGAGGGGGTGCAGTGAAGCCCAGGAGGGCGCCGCGGATATGGTCAGCACATTGGTTGACTGAGGGACCCCCAGAGGAAGCCCAGCAAGAGAAAGCAGCCCCAAAAGGACCCTAGAGGCCCAGATCTAAACCATAAATCAAAGGGGCGCACACAAGGAGACAGCCCCAACAGCCACAAATGAAACAGTAATAAAACAAGCAATAACAACGCATGAATTAAAAAAGAACCCAGAGCAGACACACTCTCTGAGTTGTACATTGCTCACCTGGAGGCAGCATCAAAGAAAGAGGAAGTGGGTGGCTCTGAATGTAGGGGTTTTTGTTATTTTGTTCTGCTTGGTTGTTTGGAAATGTTCTGTAAACTGTCTCTTTGCTGCTGGAGGTTTTCAGTAAAGAAGGTAAAGCAAATATGAAGCCTCCTGTCTTGCCTTAAAATTCAAGATCATTTCCTGTAATTGGACCTTGATTTGTTGGTTATCAAGTATTGAGTCATTTTGTTTCCAGTTCCATGTGCGATGGGCAATGTCAGGTAGGTTCATAATTACATGAATTGGGGCATGGTCGCTCCACGTGATTGGGCCCATATACAATTTGCGTACCAGATGGAGGAATCTCTGTTGCATGTAGATAGTCTAGTCGGTGCAAGACCTACTGGGCAGAGAGTAAAAGGTGTAAGCCTAGGTGAAGGGATTATCAAACCTCCAGCAGTCTATTAGTTGGTTTGAGTGGAAGGATTGGATACAAATATTTCTGTGCAGGGTGTTGCAGTTGGGGTGATGTTGGGAGGTGTCAAGAGGGATGTTAAAGTCTCCCCCACAGACAAGAATTCCCTTAGCGAACTGTGTTAGTTTGGTAAGAGTGCGTTTTAGGACTGTACCCTGTTGGTTACCTGCGGTCCCGCAAAGAGGGCGCCACACCCTTCCTGAAGTGGGTTTCCTGGAGTAAC